CAACCCTCTGTAACTGCCTTTGTCCTTTGTTTGTTGTGACTGATAGTCTTTTCTTCTCTTTCTACATTCTCATATCCCTCAGAAGACAACGACTTTGAAGCTACGGTGCAATCTTTCAGTTTCGTTCCTTCTGTCAAGTGTTGAAAATGATGTTTTGGAAATTTTGTCACTATAAATAAAATATTGCTGTGTAAATTTGAATGACTCATAACATATGTAAACATGCACAGCGTGCACAAAGAAGTTCCGAACTGCATCACTGATAACTCTGTGTTGTCTTTATATTTAGATCAAGAATAACTTCGATAACTAGATATCAAACATTAGATCTTTTGTTCTTAAATGCCTATCTTTACAGACTTTGTGGGTCATGTTGAGTTTTGAGCAGACGACACACCGTTTGTGCCATTGAGGCGAGATATTTAAAGAACTACTGTGTTTCCCCCATGACGTAGGTTGTGTATTCAAATTAATGTGCTACCCTGTTTGTGGAAAGTCCTTTAAACGTATATATTTTTGACTGAAATCGTCGGCCATCTTTTGTGACATATAATAAGTAACCCTGAGAAATCCCTATAATGGCGGAGGCAGCGGAAGCAGCTGCTACTTACGAAGACCAGGACTATGAGTTGACAGAAACACAAATAGGAGCCTTTGAATGGTAGGTAGTGATGCAGGGTATTACAGTGGCTGATTGTTTACATGTGCTCGGACTAATGACACAAAATGGCGGAGCGATTTCATTTTCTTGTACGAGAGTACAGTGTGTCCTTGTTGTTTGGGTCTGTTTCACTTTTTAAAGTCGATTTGTTATTTTCAATTATGTCTTTGTATACATCCGAAATCGAGTTGATTCCTTGCCTACCCTGTTAATCGGGTATATGGTTTGATAATCGTGAATCACTTACCTGTATCTACTATGTAATTGGACGCAGCAAGCTTCTCTGGGATTTGTAACAACTTTAATTGTAACATAGCTTCTGAACTTCCTGGCTACGTATTGTAGAGCTTGACTTAAATCGTGATCATTGTAGATAAGCATTGTCTTAAAACTTTAACAACGACTGCTGACGTAATAGAAATGGCCATGCTACGTTACCATTACAAGAAGTTTGCCTGCTTGATCCTGGATTAAATAGTTCGTGGTTGTCGTCTGAAGATTCATAGTTCGAATCGATCGCGCGCAGGGTGTCAGGGGGGACACCAAGAAAAATGATATTCGTTATTTTCAACTGAACCCCTTAACACCAGAAGTAAATGGCAGAAAAAGAGAAAAAAAATTATGTTTGTTTCATACCTCATAACACTAGAAAGCAAAGTAGAATGAGACAAGGGAGATAGTGTTTATAGCAAACCCCCTTAGCACTAGAAATAAATTTCAGGAAAAACAAGTTGGTATCAAACCTCATAACACTAGAAATAAGAAGTAGAATGAGAAAAGGGGAGATAATTAGTGTTAATATCATACCACCTTAATTCCATATACAAACAATAGATAAAGGGGAGAGAGGAAACCTGTATCATAACCCTTTAACCAGGTCACAAACAGTAGAGAAAGCGGAGAGAATTGATGTTAGGATAGCTGTATCATAACCCTTTAACCAGGTCACAAACGATAGAGAAAGCGGAGAGAATTGATGTTAGGATACCTGTATCATAACCCTTTAACCAAGTCACAAATGATAGAGAAAGCGGAGAGATTTGATGTTAGGACACCTGTATCATAACCCTTTAACCAGGTCACAAACGGTAGAGAAAGGGGGGAATTAAAAAACGTTAGAAAAAGGGGAGATAATTAATGTTATGACACCTGTATCATAACCGTTTAACCAGGTCACAAACGGTAGAGAAAGGGGGGATGGGGGATTAAAAAACGGTAGAGAAAGGGGAGAGATTTGATGTTAGGATACCTGTATCATAACCCTTTATCCAAGTCACAGACGGTAGACAAAGGGGACATAATTAATGTTATGACACCTGTATCATAACTCTTTAACCAAGTCACTGACGGTAGAAAAAGGGGAGATAATTAATGTTAGGACACCTGTATCATAACTCTTTAACCAAGTCACAAACGGTAGAAAAAGGGGAGATAATTAATGTTAGGACACCTGTATCATAACTCTTTAACCAAGTCACAAACGGTAGAAAAAGGGGAGATAATTAATGTTAGGACACCTGTATCACAACCCTTGAACCAAGTCACCAACGGCAGAGAAATTGTTGGGACCATTACCCCTTAAAGTCAGTATTGTAGCGATTAGAATCCAGATAGAATCGCAAATAAGCAAAGGTGATGTAGTCATGTTGACATACACATTTTCTCGATGTGTGGAGTATCACTTTAGTATGACAGACAAAAGTAGAAAAGCACGGCATCAAATTTTTACTTTCCTTGATAAATGGAGACCGTTTTCATTTCCGGTTTCTTCTGAACTGTTGGCAGCATCTGCATCAGAGCTCAGAACGAGGCAGATTGTCATTTTTAATACAAGTGGATAAATGTTCATGTGTGGCTGATATAATTAACAAGAAGTTAGCTAAGGTCACGCAAGAAGACAAGATGGCGAGATTTGTACGTGTTTTTCCAAAACCACTTTAGTTACCTTGCCAACATATCTTTCTTACGTCATGTAAGATCAGTTGAATTATTGTTACAGTGTTTGAGATACAATCTTGTTGCAAATCATAGTATACCGGAAGCAGGACTGCTTCGGAGAAAACAGCGTTGGGCTTAAGACATAGTGGCAAGAATTTATTTGTCGTAGTGCTAGTGGATGAAGGAAATATTCCAGACAGTTACGACCATATCGTTTTTCTTTTATTTTCCTTCTTTCGTCTCAAACTTCCACAACCCAAGATTCAGTAAATAAAATGTCTTCTTATCGAGTTTTCAAGCCGCGACTAGTCGATAAAAAACGACATGATAACATCACGAGAAGTCCTAATTATCCACCCTGTATAGTCGTAGTGTCAGACAGTTGACACTCTGATCCTGTTATACATATGATCATAAGATTATGATATTGACACACATTTAATAGGATGTGGCGACGGATTAATAATGGCTGAAACATCGACTAATTATGTATTGGAAAAATATTCTATGTCTTAATTTATTGATAAAAATTCAATTTAAAATGACGATCATTGATTGTATCGAATCAAGCTAATTAATTGATGATTTGATTGTCTGTAGTGATTAATATAATTGATTTATAAAGACAGGTTATACCAGAATAAACAATGGATGGCCAGAAATTCTCAGAATAAAAAGGTCCCCGTTTCGTTAGTTGGAAAATTGATATACACGCATTTTTTTAACATATCGAGAGAATATCGAGCGATGCTAGTAGTAAGGTGTCCTTTATGAGACTGGGGCTTGAGTAAGTCTAAAAGAAAAAAAAAATACATCCGAACATGTTATACCACATTTACAGGTAAACACTGTGTGGTGTCACGCATTCCTTACCAGGTATTCAGATTTGTCACGACTGCACTTACGTTCATCAACATCCCAATACACCAGGATGGGCTGGACAAGATTTGTCAGCTTCACGACTGATTTTTAACCTTTCTGATCGTTTCCCATACTGTATTATTACGTCATAAAGAGCAGAATAAATATTGTATTAGGAACACCTATCTTCAATTCAGTCTCATTTTAACGTTGTTTGATGAAGATTTTAGTTTGGAGCTTTATTTGCAAGCTTTAAAAGCTGGTTGATGACATTTGTACCCGAAGGCTATCAAGTAAACAGGTTTTCATGTGACACCCACGAAAACCACATCGCTTTATCTATATGGTACATACACTCAGAAAGTGCTTGGACGGGTGGATTTCTTCAGCTGATGTCAAAGCTTTCCTTGACTGTTTTATATGTTTATGTCTGTGTAGTAAATTTGTATTAAACATATAATAATCTCTCCTTATGATCTTGAAATTCAAATTTCAAATTCAATTTCGAAGGTACTCAGTAAAGAATATTTACTTGAAAATTAAAAACGTAATTGTTTTTTCCTTTTTATAGCTGTTAGTTAGTGCGTAATATATAGCATCTTATTAAAGTTTATTTCCAAATACACAAGCCCTCTTATGTATTGCGAAATACCACCGCCTATAATATACAGTGCAGTCGCCTTAGCCTGTGTAGACTGACCCACATTCACACATTATCTGTGTACATACTAAGTTGTTACATAGAAATATATATATATATGTAAGTATAGCTGAAAGCGTTGCCGCTCTGGTTACTCCGTTCTGTTTTATCTCAAATTGTCTAATGGTTATTACTCTATCTGTAAACGAGTATAAAATATCTAAAATGTCTTCAATATTTTCAAACGTCATTGCTAATGCCTAGTTCCTAAAGAATTATGATCGTAGGGAGTAAAATCGGGATCAGAAAAGACAGATTTAGAGAAAGTCAAATGTGTATGTTATTCAAATAATACCAAATCGACATCTTCATTAATATTTTTATCGTTCATTTCGAGATATTGTTTGCTCATTGTTACGTCCTTTTCCATTTCTTCTTTATATTAACCCCCGTTTGTGGTTAGACATACTTAAAGCGATCTTAATTTGGATTTTTCTAAATTGAGTTCAAAATTTTAATTCAGATTAAAGAAGTTTGTATAATTATATAACTTCATATGTATTGTTTGATTTATTTTCGTAAATAGTAAACAAAAGTTTTATTTTATGTGAAGATTCCCAAGCCCCTGCCAACCAACTCTTTTATTCGATTAAGACATGCTGGTTTCAAACATTAGGCATTGATAACAGAAACAGATTAAGTAAAGCAATGGACAAAACATATACAATTGTGTAATATGAAATCACCAATTGTATCTCAAAAGATTTTTTGTTTATCTTTGTTATTCCAAGTGTTTATAGCCATTGCAGTGTTTTTGTTTAGAGCGTTTCCATGGTAACTTTGCTATGGACCAAATACCAGTGATTGAGAAGCTTATGATATATGGTTTGTATTTTTCAGGGTGTCCGAGGTGCTGGGGTTCGTCCCCTCGTTAAACAAGTTACGAGGGAGCACGAGTGATGATTGGATAGATCGTATCAGTCACATGTACACGGTCATTATGTTAGTGATTTTCGCCATTGTGGTCAGTTCCGGTCAATTTTTCGGCGATCCGATTCATTGTTGGTGTCCAGCAGAGTTCACAGACGCTTTCGAAGAATACACCAAATATGTTTGCTGGATTTCCAACACTTACTATATCCCTATGAAGGACTCCATTCCGGATGAGGACGAGATCCGACAAGAGAAGGAATTAACCTATTATCAGTGGATTCCCCTAATCCTCCTTCTTCAGGCGTTCCTGTTCAAAGTACCAAATATTGCATGGCGAATGCTTAACACACAAGCCGGTATAAATATCGACAAGGTAGTTAGACTGGCAGAGGAAACCCAAGATGGTTCACCGGAAGATCGACTGGAAACCATTGAAAATCTGGCCAAGTACATGGACAAATGGCTCGGGACTTATCAAGAATACAAACGGAACATCATTGTAAGGGTGCGCGCGCAGATGACCAAGGTCATGTGCTGTTTGATGAACAGACGTGCTGGCACATTTCTCACGGGTCTGTACATGATCATTAAAATCATCTACGTCGTCAACGTCATCGGTCAGTTTTTTATCCTCAATGCATTCATGGCAACGGATTACAATATGTATGGCTTTCAATACATCGAAAGTCTCATTAGAAACGAACCCGTGCGAGAAAATCCGAGATTTCCCAGAGTGACCCTGTGTGACTTCCGGATTCGTCAGTTGCAGAATGTTCAGCCTTGGACTGTACAATGTGTTCTTCCCATCAACCTGTTTAATGAGAAAATTTTCATATTTTTGTGGTTTTGGTTCGTGTTAGTTGCAACACTAGCATGTTTCAGTTTGTTGAAAACTGCTATTTATCACATCTTCAAGCAAAATAAAATCAGATACGTGAAGAAGTATCTTAAAATTAACAACGAAATTCACAGCAACTATGACAAAAAACTCTGTGCACAATTCGCCGAGGGATATTTGCGAAATGACGGTATATTTGTGCTGTACATGATAGCCAAGAACTCCACAGACTTGGTTGTTGTCGATTTGATGAGGGAATTGTGGAAAATTTTCAAAGCAAAGCACAGTCCAAACAATAACGTCATGAATAATCATCCGGGTATCGAAGACACCGAAATGGCGCCACCTCTTGACGAGAAAGAACCACTCACCGACGGTGCTTACCAACCGCAGTGATCACGTGATTGTCAAAGATTGTATTTTCAGGGTATAAAGCAACCGATTCCAGTTTCGCTTTTGTTTTGAAATTCATTTGACCTACACCAGAATATAGACCCAATTCTGACAATATTTGACATATCTGTCCGTTTCTTGCTCGCGAAACTTGAGATCACTAGCTGCCATTTTGGTTCCGTTTTGATTGATATTTCATAACGTAATACACAGCGGAACTGGTAAGAGAAGTTCCGAATAGAAAGATCTTGCCGCGGAATGCACTGCATTTTGCCTGCCCCTGAAGGGTATATCCCCGTGTAGGAGACGACAGTCGCCAGGTGCTATAACTACTTGTTTATTGTTGTGAATTGTTATGAAGTATTATGCTTTATCTAGTACCACGATATTTACTATACAAGTGGATACGTAAATCATACAGTTTCAGGAACAGGAAGATTGAAGCATGGCTGAGTATTTATGATAAAATGGACAGAAACAAACTATAGGTAACCTAGTGTGTTAAAACGCTGTGCTAACCTAGACGGCCTTATGGGAAATTAGATAAGGGAGATAACTTACTTCACTAAGGTCACTAATGAACTGGGTGTTGTCGTATAGCAAGTCAAGTCTTGAACAGGATGTAATTGCACAGCAACTCCTGAACGTGATAGCGTAGGTACTAGATTACAAGTATGTCGCATAGATATCTTTACGTTATGAGAGAGGCGTGCAAAAGAAATTGATGGGACTTGTATAAGTCTAGTGGATGGTTTTAATTTTGCGTACTAAAACATTGCACATATTTCATTTACCTTGTCAGAAAAATGGTGCTACACATTAACAGGTTTCCTCTTTTGAATTCTGTGTTTTGCATTCCCTGTATGACAGCTCTTGGTCAATGATATTAATTATTTTTCGATATTTGTATAGTTTTCGTATTTTCATTTTGTCATCTATTATAAAAAGAGTTTGAGTTTTCTTAAAAATTGATAGATGTGGGAAAAATACGCTTGAAGTCTTATTTTATGTTGACAATTTAACAGTTTTTATATTTGTATAAAGCTACGCTATTTCATGTTAAAATATTATCGCTTCTTTAATGATATTAATACTCCTAAGCCTTGTCTAGTTTATTGATATACGCAAGTAATGTCAGCAAATGTTTAAGGTCTCGGAACTCTATCTTAATATCGTTTTACTGTCATGACCCATTAAGTTGTTTGTAAAAGTTGAGCCCTCGTTTTTTCATTACGTGGCAGACAGGATTGTGCCATGGTGTTTTAATATCATCCCGTCATTCCAAACACAATCAACTCCACCAGTAACACCGAAGTTTATACAAGATCACGGCGATTTCATCACTACAATCTTATTTCCGTTCATGACCTGTGCATTCTTTTCTGTTGTTTTTGAATTTTTATACTGACTGGCGATCTGTTTTTGAATATTTTTTGCCAACAAAACCTTTCTTGTCTCGTTCTTAAATCAACAGAACAGCGCAAAACATTCGATAGATTTTTCGAAAGTGTTTCCTAAGTTTTCGATATTTATCTTTTACAGTAATTACAGAATGTTAACTACAAGTAATATGATTGAATCTTGATTTACATAGTTTTTAGAGTTTTATGTGTTTTGTGAGTGATTTGTTAACCCTGTGGAGAATTAACTTTCGAGGGTTGATAAATCATGCTATCAACATCGTTGTTAGTCAATAATTGTATCATATTACCAATTGTAGTATTGTTGCCTGATGATCTACCAATGAATGCAATATTTCTTTAACTCAATGTTTATTATGAATCACGTGTTGTATTACATTTATAACAAACTTATATATTTATAATGTAAATACATTTAGTTACTTTTGAACCGGTCATAAATTGGTATTCTCTGTTGAAAATAAAATTCTGAAAACAATGTCGCCTTTTCATGTTATTATATATTTAAGTATTGAAAACATTACAAAAAGTGTCAAAACTTTTTCATCGCTGATGATCACTTCTATATCTTGAAAGAGATGTCTTATGTCTTAATACAAAGGACCGTGTTTAACTTTCATGATTTTTTATATATGTCAATATATATATATTCAATTCTGAGAGTTTCCCTTGAAAACACATTAAAAATTATGGTTTAAAGAGGAAAGTAGATACCATGGTGTTTCCCTGCATGTTTGATCAATGGTGGAGGTTAGTATATATAGGGAAACCCGGACAATAAAACAGTTATATTACAGGGACTTTATTTCAAGTCCCTGTGTTTGAGGTCAATGTTTGTCAGTAACCAGTACATACGTGAAATATAACGAACAAATTAAGGACAATAGTGAGAATCAGACGCGCGTGGTTTCCTGTGTGAAACCCATGACGTCACGACAATGAGAGTTTTGTAATAAGCCAAATCTGCATGCCAGAATCACTCCCTATATATAGTTTTATACATGTGTGTAACACGAGTCATCAGCTGTTGTAAATTTCTGTCCAATTTGTCACATCTATGGTAAAGGGTCATTACGGACGTACTAAAGGGCCATAAAGGGTTACGACACAAAGCTCTGGTCAGACTTGTTTACAAAACTTTGTCCTAATGGTCATTTTGTCAGTCTACCAAATGTCAAGACTTACTAGACAATTACCCACATCATAACATGCCACTAAGCACGGGCGACTTTTAGTCAGGCAACGGTCAATCGATGGGTCATTACTACGCTACAGATGTAATGATTGACCACTTGACCAGTACTTATGTTGGCCGGAACACATTGATGGATGGCAGGCCAAAATGCCAGAGGTCTGGTCCGACAGCGTGACATCTCTACACAGTAAGAAACAAATTAGGGGACAGTAATCTCGGGTCAGATGTCAATCACCGCCAGCCAATCACAGCCGAGCTATTTTGTTACGCTATACTTGGGGTTGAAGACTGTCACGCCACTTGCTGTGGTGAGATTAATCATCGGCTAAAATGATAATTTGACGTTATCCGTTCTCTCTTATAAGGTGTTATGAATATCGGTGCTCATTGGTAAAACAGAACCATTTGTTGACTGGGTTTGAGGTCAACATATGTTATGTGAACCACAGGACTAAACTTCGATCATAGACAACAGCTTGGTCCGAGAGTGTTCGATATAACACATGTTGACCGAAAATCCAGTCTGCAAATGTTTTGATATACTTTCTAACGTTGATATCAAAGAAACCGAATCATTATAGATAATTATCTGTCCATAATGGCAGACGTCATTTAAACGTCGGGCCGGAAGCTAACGTGTGGGGGTGAGGGAGAGAGAGGGAAGACCACTATTGCTTAACGGCGTAAATTGTCGAGTAGCGACCGGAAAGTACCGAACACTAATTAGTTGTGACGTAGGCAGTCAACATCGAAATGTTGACCTCTGGAATTTCAGACTTTATGCACTATAGAGAAGTATAGAGAATAAACAGTAAATGTATAACAATAGATCACTTTTGTTGGACAGTTATCCGACCCAAAGGAGATGTCCGACTTTAAACAGACGGACAGGGTGGACAATGTCTCCCATTAAACGTCGACACCTCATACCATCCGTCGATAATCACAAACCCAAGGTATGCGGGATGTCAAAAATAATCTGATAATAAACACGGCAGGACACAATAACAACTAAATGTTTTTCATATTCATGTTACAATGATAGTCTTAACATGAAACATTGCCAAAAATCCTTTCATCTTTGTTTTTGAAAAATGTCGCCTATCCTCATCTCACGTGTTACCATGACTATAAGCACGGACACTAGATTTTCGCTTTATCATGCAGTATTAATGATCTGAAAACAAAGAAAGATTTGTATACCGGTCTGATGAAGCACTGTGTAACGTGGGAGTAGCTGAGAAGTCTCTTACTGGGAACAGAAGACACAACGGCATTAAGTTCAACAAAGCTTACGTTTATATACACCAAAATTATGCAAAGACAAGATATATAATTACAAAAAAAACAGGAATACTACACACACACACAGCTTTCACCCAACTTTCTCACTAGATAAAGTCTTTCTACACGGGCCCCATCCAACGTGCACCGGTCCAAGAGCGTCGACAACAATTGTCCGATGAAAACACGCAACAAAGTTCTTTACACAAAAGTATGAGGACCTTTGCAGGTCTGTCTGCATAGCCAAAACTTCAGGCTCAAAGACCAAACTTGCGTGTTGCAAGTGAGTATCATACCACAATGTAGTGGTCCATCAATGACATAGTGCATCCACTGGCACCGCAGCTGCCCTCTTGGTATGTCACGTCTTCATAAGTTGTGCACGATAACTGGTCCAGTATAATGACACACTGTATATGGGAATGTGTCGCTGAGAAATAAAAACATATTAATGAATGATAAATGATACATACAGGAAATGATAGGGGAGTAGTTATAAGCTGGTGTTGTTGATGGTAAACCACACATATGTCTTCTAACCAGGGCATGACGTAAGTAAATATCATTGCTCGGCAATTTCCGGAAAGGCTCGAGAAACCGAATCACGAGCGTAAATTTTTACTGAACAAACCAGAAAGTTAGACTTTACAGATGTGGATATGGACCATGCCCGTTTGAATTGTAGATGCATATAAATTCGAATATGACAACGAGACAACCGCGAAAAACCGGTATACATGTGATGTGTCAAACTTTAGATTATCCTTAAATGTCAATTTGAGGACGTGTATATATTAATTGTGTTTCTTGTCACGAGGAGAGTAAATGATATGTGTATCTTATCAGCACCTAGGCCATACATACAATCTTATCCAGATCATATTATCAACAAATTAGATACGAAAAAGTCTCCATCTGGTGACATTATCAAATACTTCGTTGACAGCTGCTGTTTTCGGCGATAACATGATCCATTCGTATCTCTCTTTTTTATATATATATCTTTACTTTTACAGCGTTATAGTTAAACTTAAAAGCATTATTTAGTATTCAAAAGAACATGTTAATTAAATATATTTCTAACATTTAGACAAATATAGGAATATCGAATGAAAAACATATATTTAAAAAAAAATATGTATTTTTAACTTAAATTCACTACTTGATGAATGTATCCTTCACAATGGTTTCCGGTCAGATATTTGACAAAAACTTTAATGACGTGTCATACACATTCTATCAATAATACACAGCATACCATAAAAATGACATGTCTTCTTTTACTTACATCTACACAAATCTGCAGGTAAAAAACACATTGCGTGCAGTATGACGCCATATAAATGCCATATAGTTTTCAGTCAGCTAATTCTGATTTCATGTTTTAGTCGTCATTCTGTCAGATTCTTACAGACCGATCAGTCAGAGTAAATATGGTGTCTACTGGACCGTAACGTGTCGTCTCCCATATCGTCATGTTCACCAAGTGTGACGGACCAGTAACTTGCTCCTGGCCACACTGTCACCGAGATCAAAGTTCATTCTGAGAAGAGTGGCCATGTTATTCTGGTTCCGCCCATTGCTCTCATCTTCATAAGATTACCTGAAACTGTTTAATATTATCGGAAAAATATTGAACATCAGTATAAAATTTTCAAGTATATAATTTATGAAATATTTACACGCATTGTCAAATAAACATTAAACTACACTTGAGATTTCAGAGTTTGTAAAACCGACATCTTGACTTCATTTTGTTTGTCAATCTTTGTCAATAGACTCGTTTTTAAATGAGACAATGTACTGTGTTATCTTGTACTTATGATAATGCGTTGTAACACAAGTCCCTATCAAATACTCTACACATTGGTTCAATGTGCTACATCAATTTAGGTATCAAAAAATTGCAATTGCACTGTTCACTTTTAGGGATAAATCTTTGAAGATGGCACAAAAATCAGACACTTGAATAATACCTTTCTATAAAACATTAGGTACAATGATTTATAACAATAATCAAATTACATCACACAGCTGTTTCATCCTTCTAGGATTCGTCACTGATGTTACATCACACAGCTTTTTCATCCTTCTACGCCTTGCAGTGATGCTACATCACACAGCTGTTTCGTCCTTCTAGGACTCGTCAGTGATGCTACATCATACAGCTGTTTCGTCCTTCTAGGACTCGTCAGTGATGCTACATCATACAGCTGTTTTGTCCTTCTAGGACTCGTCAGTGATGCTACATCATACAGCTGTTTTGTCCTTCTAGGACTCGTCAGTGATGCTATATCATACAACTCTATCGCTTTCTAGGACTCGTCATTTAATGCAAAGGACCCAAATTTTAAAACTTAATGAGCTGACTGAAGCAAATACAAAATGATAGAAAAAAAGTAAAAATATGGAATGGGAGGTGCACTAGCCCTGTAATTCAATAAATTTCGTCAGTTTCGTATATATATTCATTTCAAAAGAATGTCGGGAAAAGATGAAAGGATACAGCTATGTATTGTACTCGTTTGTGATTGTTTATGTATAAACAATATATATATCCGGAACATGCATCAGCTAAACTGTGAGAATTGTGATCAAAAGTTCGACTATGTCCTCAGGGTTTACTAAACGTACAAACAAAGACTTGCCCGCCTAACTACCATAACAAGGTCTAGTTACACCACATAATGCATCACAGGCTAAGTCACGTGACCTTTACAAATGAAAACATCCGCCAGCCATGTTGTTTTTTCTTCTGAAAAGCCCCCGGTCATGGAAGTTTGGTTAGCTTTCGGTTGTCTCACACATTTGTTTCTTAACTAAAGTTATGTTAGACGGATAAATGACTTCTTACACATGTGACCTTTACAAAGTATTACAAATATATAAAATAATGACAAGACACAATTATGTACAGATAAATGTTTAGAAAAGTTTATTTTTCTTCAGAAAAAGTTACAATGAAAAGTAATATTTCGATAAACTGCTTGAAGAAGATG